TAGTTCATTTGAAATATTCAGTTAATTTTTTCCAACCAGACTGATCTGCTGTTACATCAAATGTTTAAAGAATAACTAATACCAGTTTCTTTCAAACTATTCCAAATAAACTACTGAAAGAATGTGGGGGTGGGGAGGTAACTCTTCTGCATTAATTCTACAGGACCACCATTACCTTGATACCAAAACCAGACAAGGACATAACAAAAAAAAAAAAAAAAAGAAAAAAAAAAAAAAAAAAGAAAAGAAAAAAAAAAACTACAGACCAAATTCCTGATGAACAGAGATGCAGAAATATTCAATAAATCATTTTCAAAACTCAAATACTACCCAATTCAACAGGACATTGAAAAGGTTATACACCATAACGAAAGTAGGATTTATCAGTGCATAAGAGTAGTTTAGCATACACAATTCAGTAAACACAGTGCATCATAACAGAATGAAGGACAAAAAATCATGTTATCTCAACAGATGCAGAAAATGAATTTAGTAAAATTTAACATACCTGCATGATAAAAACCATTAATTCAGTATAAAAGAACTGTACTTGAACTTGATAAAGTTCATAACTTGATGAAGTTGATATATGGTAAACCCACAGCCACCATATTGAGTTGGGAGAATCTGAAACTGTTTGCTCTAAGATGTGGAATATGATGAATGTGTCCATTTTTACTACTCTTATTCAACAAATGAGTCTTAGCTAGAGCAGTTAAACAACAGAAAGAAATATAAGACATCCAAAATGAAAACATAGGAAGTCAAATTACTCTTGTTTACATCTGACATGATTTTATATACAAAAAAATCTTAAGGGTCCATCAAAAAACTTTTCAGAACTGCCAGGTATGGTGAAGCAGGGCTGTAATCCTCGTGCTGGGGAAACTGAGGCAGGAAGATTGCTGTGGGTTTGAGGCCTCCTGAGCCACATAGTTTAAGGACAGGCTCAGCTACACAGCAAGATACTGTCTCAGAAACAAACTCCAAGAAATAAAACTTTTAAAATTGATAAATTCAATCATGTTGTAGGATATAAATTTAGCATACAAAATTTAGTAGTGGCATCTTGATGTATTTCTAAGGAATTTGCTAAAAATTTTTTTTGAAAAAGCAAAATTAGTATTGAATAAAAAGAACAAACGTGGTGGCCTAACATTACCTAACCTCAAAATATACTATGAATCTTTTGTAACCAAAATAGCTTAGTCTTGTTGTAAAAACTGACATGTAGACCAGTGGAGCAGACTAGAGAATGCAGAAATAAATCCACTTGTCTATGTCTCGCTCTTGAACAAAGGCACAAAAATTATCTAGAAGAAAAGCTGGTCTTTTCCTTTCAATAAATGGTGCTAGGAAACTAGATATCTTTCTGTAGAAAATAAAACTAGACCCCATCACATGTACAAAAATCAACTCAAAATTGATCAAAGACTTTAATACTTGAAATTATGAAAGAAGAAAATGTAGGAAAATAGTTGGAGACATCTGTGTAGGCAGTGATATTTTGGGTGAGACTGTAGAACACTTGGTAGTCAAAGGAAAAAGCAGATAATTATAATTACAGTAAGTAGAGAAACTTCTGCAAAGTAAGGGAAACAACAGAGTGAAAGGATAACTTAGAGAATAAAAAAATAGTTTTCAAGTATTCATCTAACCATGGATTAGTATCCAAAATCTGTAATGAACTAGAAAATCTCAACAGTAAAAGAAAAAAAAAACCCAAATAATTTGATTAAAATACATAAATGATTCAGAATAGATATTTCTTGAAGGGAAATATACAATGTCCAACAAATGTATGAAAAACTTGCAACATCCTCACTCATCAAGGAAATGCAAATCAAAAGTTTAAAAGGAATTTTAGAAAGCATCTAGGCTGTCAGTGTAAAATGAGACTGCATTCATTGTTAGTCAACACTGATTTCTTGACAAAGTAAAATGATAGTAGAATGGATTATATTTAGTGACTTTTTAAAGTGTGCATTCTGATTTTATTTGCTTTAGAGCATGCTGATTATTTTAGAATTATTTTAAAAATTCAAATAAAGTCACATAGAGCCTTCATTATACTAAAATATGCTTTAATACATTATGGGATTTATAGAAAACGAGTTCATGTCTAAGGAAGTTAGAGTTGTATTAAAATAAGTGAATGATTACCCAGTACATTATTTGGTATTTTTCTTTATGTTTATTTCTGGAACTTATGGAAGAATAAACTTGATAGTATTAATGACATTTTTTCTTTAATTAGCAAAAAAGACTTTTTTTAACCACCAAAAGCACATTATTTAAAGTTTGATGGAACTCTCTTTAGTAGATTTGAGTAATATTTAATATCTTTGTTGCATGACTTAAAAGCATAAGTAAACTAAGAATATATTTTCATAAAAATTGATTAGTGAACAATTAATGGCCTTAGGAAGTGATAATCAATTGAATATGGCTTAGGAACAGGTATGAAATTATTGACTGTTGTTTTTTGAGTCCTTCCCCTCCAAAGTGCTGAAATGTGTTTTGAAATTACTTAGTTGCATTAGTGGTTGGATTTGAGGCTTTTAACATGTTTTTCATCAGTGCCCCTGGGGAGAAGATAACCAGGACCTTAAATGTACTAGCATCTTGCATCATTCTATAATTTTAAGTACTGTGATGAAATATTGAAATGATCATGAAAGATGATGACCATTAAGTTTTTCTTTCAACTATTAAAACTCACTAAAGGTTATATTGAGCTGTGGTTTATGAAATTGTTTAGACTAACGCCTTCTTTGATAATTATTTCTGAAGTGGAGAAAAATGCTTTAGGATAGGTAGCATGATTAATGAATATTCTTTTTGGTTTTGGAAATTTCCACAAATTACTGTAGTGAATGTTTTATTGTGGTGAAAGCTTGGTGTCTTTCAACAACGTTTAGGTTATTTAAAAACAATTGAAGAATTTTATTCTCTTGGACTTCAGATTCTTTTTTATTAATTTGTATTAGCTTGCCTTATATTCCCAGTATTAAATGTTAAATAGTTAATATGTAAAAATTGTTTATAGAGAAACGATAACCCAGCGATATCTTTGAAAATTACTGTTTTTGTAGCAATAGTTGAAATTATAAGATTTGTATTTTCACTTAATTCTTTATTCAGTTTTTTTCATAGCGAAAATAGGAAGATAGTTTTAAATTTAGGTTACCATATAATTGCTGAAAGCTAACACTAAGATTTATAGACAATCTGATCCTTGGAAAAATACAAGGGGACAGAGTAATGAATTTTAATTTCTGAATTTCTGTAAAAAAATGAACTGCAGTTGCTTATTTACCTTCTTGTCTAACTTGATTTTAATTTTGAAGAAGAAGCAATATTTTGTATGGCTTGCCAAGTTGAGTTGAGGCAATAAATATTTTATGTGGTCAGGTTTTTTATATTTATATAGTACCAACTTTAACTTGTTTTCAGTCTAACCTCAATATTGATACTTAAAATTTTTGTGGAATTAAAGTGACACACTTCTTTATTTTGTATGTAAGTAAAGGCTCGTGTACATACTGTAAATAAAATCAGGATGATGTTTACTTTTTATTTTGTTGTTTTTTTTTTTTTTTTTTTTTTTGAGACAGGGTCTCACTATATAGTTGAGACTGACCTGAAACTCACTATGTAGTCCAGGCTGGTCTTGAACTCACAGCAATCCTCCTGCCTCAGCCTCCTGAGTGCTAGGATTACAGGCGTGCGCCACCACACCTGGCCTTGATGTTTACTTTTTAAATCAAAATATGTATTTCTCAACTGGTGTCCATTTTATCCATGCATGTTGGAGTTTCTCTCAGTTATGTAATTAAACTCTCTCTTGCAGTTTTAAATAATGAAAAAGTGGATTTGAGAAAAATGTTACTGATAAACACTTTAAAATGGATTTTTACAGTAAATAGACATGGGCTTGTTTTAGGTTTTACGAAAGAACAAAGCTTTGAGGGAGAAGTCATGTAGTTGAATCTAAGGGATCCTTAGGTTTTAATAAAAATACAGATATACATATATTACTATCTTTAAATTGGTATCTATCTGTGCATGTGTTTGTATAGATGCATTCATATGCCGATGCCCCAGACACCCCAGGTGCACTCACTGACAATGCTCAGATTAATGTATATTTCAATTCACTAAGCTTTTACCTTATTATTTCACTGCTTATTTTATATATGTTTTATGATAAGGATTGAAGAATTAATATGAATATACTGACTTCTAGGCTTTTCATTGGATTTTTAAAAAATTTTTGGTAAATTAAAATTTGTGCTTGCGAGGAAGGTGGTGACACCTCTGAGCTAAATCCTCCGCCCCTTTATTGGATTTTTTTAGTGGGTAAAGTTTAGTGGATAAATTTCTTTTTTGGTACTGGGGATTGAACTTGGGTCCTGGCCCTTGCGAGGCAGGCGATGGAACCACTGATCTAAATCCCTGGACGTAGTGGATACGATTTTACACTTGCTCTTAGCCAAAAGGCCGAGAAGCGATAGTGGATAAATTTTAAGGGCTAAGGAATGGTTAAAGGTTTATACTACCTAGTGGTAATTCAAAGGAGAATGAATTACTCTTTTCCACCTCACCAGTCATCCAGCCCAGTTTACTCTTTTTTTTCCTTGTCTCTTTTGCAATCATTAACCTTTTTTTTTTTTTTTTTTTTTGGTAAAACATAGTTTATTTATTAAACTGCTTAGTTGTGCCTTCTCTTCATTTTGGCGACCCACCTCCCATATAATGGTATAGAACAGAAAGGCAAAATAAATATGGATAGGCTCATTTAGTTTATTCAGAATCAAATTTTTGTTCACTTTTTAAAATGTACCATCTGATACCAATTTTTTAGGGTTGTAGGGAAGGGAACGTGTAATGGAACTTTTCCTTTCAGAGCTAAGACATGAAATTGATGTAGGTGATGTTTTTTATTAGCACTGTTTTCTGAATGAAATTTCTTCAGCTATGTTTTGCTGTTTTTTTAGGAGTGGCAGAATTCTATTCAGAAGAATGCAGGCCTTGCTTTTATTGAACTTGTCAATGAAGGAAGGTAAACTATTTTTATCCATTCATATTTTCCTGTAAGATCTTATTATATTTTTCTCATGTGAACTGATGTTTTAAGGTTCTATATTTCCTCTTTTCGCATTTTATATAATAGAACTTGCATATTGATTATCACAAATATGTCAACATTTAGCTATTTTATATTTTTTTCATTATTACATACTTATTTGTAAGGTTTTAGTCCTTATTTTTTAATAAATGTGACTGAATTTCATGAAGGTAAGCTGAATGATTCTCTTTGCAGATATAAGAAAAAGCCATACTTATATGCAGTTTGTATAAAATCGTATTATGTTTGTAGAGCCAGTGATTAGGCTTATATGTCTGCATTATTTCCAGTGCCTGGCCATCAGGAGGAACAGCAACAAATTTTGGTTTGTGTTTTGATGAGATGAGAAAGGGAAGAGACAGAGTTAGTAGGCATGGTTTCCACTTAAAGAGAAGAGACTAAAGAATCCAAAGAAAGAAAATTTTGTGATAGGAAAGAGAAGGACAGAAGTATAGAAATGAAAAGCGAAATAAAGTAGGAAAATTTTAAGAGAGTAAATTGTAAAAGGTAAAAATAAATTGAGAAATGGTAAACCGGTGACTTTGTGGTAGCTGGTTTTGCACTAGTGAAACCAAAGACCTTTCGTATACATTAGAGAGGTTTAACAAGCTGCCTGCCCTGTAATCAGTACCCTGAGGAAAGGTTTTCATTTCTTTATAGGGTTTTGCTTAATGTTATTGGACTCACTTTGTCATGATGGCAACTGTTTGAACTACTAACTAGGAATCCAGGCTCTCTTTATGTTACCAAAAAAAAAAAGGATACAGATAACTTTATTTTATAGATCTAAAATTTCTTATTCATAAGTAATTTCAAGTACCTACAGGTTAGTGTTAGAAACAAATAAGTAACCCTGCAGTGGTACTATTTTATGCTAAATTCTGTGATCAAAAGTTCGTAAAAACAGGGTACTAAGATGGCATAGAGAAAAAGAGTCTTTACTCTGGAAGATCAGGTAAATCCAGTCAATATGGTTCTTGAGATGTATTTTTAACAGTTAGTATGGTTCATCTTGAGACGTGAAAAAATTGGGAGTTATGGATAAATTGGAGGCTGTTTGTCTGAAAAGCATTCAAGTGGAACAGAATATCTGCAGCCACTGTGTTGAGGAACGTACATAGGAGATTTGTGTGTAGGTATATGGATTCATGCGCACATATGTGATTGTATATGTTGTGGTGGTAATGTGTTACTGGAATAGAATCGGGCTTCTGAATCACGGCCTAAGTGTAGCATATTTGGACTTGGGTTGGCAAGTATTTGCAGATTTTAAGCAAAAGAGTGTGAATATGTTTGGGTTTTAGAAAGGTAACTGGTAGAAGTATTTAGGATGGTTTAAGGGAGAGGAGACCTGATTGAAATCAAGAACAGTAGCAGGGCTACTACTAACTCCATGTGAGAAATGGAGTTAAATTGTACTGTGGTGTCTGGCAAATAGTAGGTAATCAATAAATATTTCTCAGTGAATGAATGATTAATGCTTTAGTTTACCTTTAGCAGTGCTTATTCATCAAATGAGAAATAACTCTTTGGTTGAATATCAAAACTTGGAGTTTGAATGCTTTTAAAGTCTATCCAGAATAAACTAAATTAACCTATCCATATTTATCTTGCCTTTTCTGTTTTATGCCATCATATACTAACTTAAATAGTTAAGAATTGGGTAAAACACAGGAAGAAGAGCAGTTAATGAAGACATGGTAAGAACTGTTAATTGAATATGTTCTTTAGCTACTTAATGTAAAACACAGATCAACAGATCTTCTATCATTTATATTTTATTTAAATAAAATTGTTCTTTTATCAAGAAAAAATTTACAAATGACAACTTTGATTATTACAGATTTTACAAAGTGTATTTTTGATTATGCTTGTTAGTATTACAGTTACTAGATTAGGCAGCATAGGCTTATGAGTAAGAGCTGTGAAGATAGCTGTGAAGATAGCCAACAGTTCAAGTTTCAAATCTGATATTTACAATCACTTTTACTTTTTGGGTCTCAATTTTCTCATGTATTCATTCAGCCAATGTTTATTGCACTCTGAATACTAGGAATTATTCTTGATCCTGAGCAGTAAACCTAATGAAGATCTTTAGTAAGTTTTATATTCTTGTTTTGTTTCTTTTTTGACTGCTGAAGAATTTGTGTATTTTATTTTTGTAACATGTTTGCAGTAGTACACTGTAATTACCCTCCTTGGTGCATAACGCATCTCATGCTTTTTTAATCCTCATCTCCCTCCCTTCCCATCACCCTTTCTCTATCTCTTGATCCCCTTTTGTAAAAGGTCGATTTCCTTGTTTCCTATTATCTTTTATTTTGCTCTTTATTTGTAATTTGGCTTTCTTGTATAAGAAATATCATGAAGTATTTAAACTTGTATGTCTGATTCATTTCACTTAACATTATGGTCTCATTCATTCATTTTTAGTATTCTAACACATACAGGAAGGAAGTTAGAAGTAGGTTATATAATATTGGAATATTGATAAGTACTTTGGGAACAGAAAATGTGGAGCTAGGGTAAGTAATGTGGATTTTTGTTTTGGTTGAATTTTGAAGGAATTATAAAGAATTGGAATGTTTTCAGTTTAGAGTGGTTAGATTAGAACTCCCTGAGAGGGTGACATTTGAGAAAGCACTTAAGCACACAGAAGAGTTAAACATTAGGGCATGTGGTTAAAATTACTCAAGACCTTGGGAATAGCTAGTGCACAGGTGGGTGAGAATTTCCATGGTCTCTCTCAGTAACAAGGCTAATATCAGCAGGCAATAATGGTCTAAGTGCAGCAAGTTGAGAAAGGAAGTCAGAGAGGTAGTACAGGCCAAGAGTTTGTATAGAGCTTTTGAAATTTATTTTGTAGAACATGACAGTCATTACAGGAATTTGAATAAAGTGAGACAGTCCTCTTGTATGTCTTCACAGGATCATTCTGGCTTTTGCCTAGAAGAATTGAGGAATAGAAGCTAAGAGGTCAATTGGGGCCTGTTGTAGTAATCCTAATAAAACATGGTGGTGACTAGATTAGGGTAGTAACATCTGAAGAGCTAAGAAAAGGTAGGCTTATGGGTGTATTTTGAAGATGTACCTGATGGGATTTGCTAATGTATCGGTTATGGGGTTGAGAGAAAGCGAAGGATCAAGCATTAATGTAAGACTTGCCTTTTCATGGCTGGAAGGATGTTTATCAAACTGAATGGAAATGGCTTTGGATATAGTTAGTGGGAAAGATCAGGAGGCCACTTGTGGAAGGAATGATTGTGAATTCTTCAGCAAAAGTAGGTATATTAAATAAGCAGTGACTTGTTATATCTGCAAAGCAGGGATATAAATTTGGGTGTTAGAAAGCATACTGGTACTGAATTCATTAAGAGAGTAATGTGGTTACTGAGATTTGACTACTAGATTCAGTAACATGCAAGTTGTTTCTAACTTAAAAATTGTTTTGGGGAGAGCATTGTGGAAAACACCTCTATAATGGATTTAAGAGAGAATCTGAGAAAGGGAGGAGGAATTTTGAGACAGTGAATTTTTTAAAGTTTTGCTGCAAAGTCAAACAAAGAACAAAGAGAGCCATGATGACTTGTGGGGTGAAATAGAGTCAGGCAGTAGTTTTTTCTTTAAGGAGAGCAAAGCAACATAGTTTGATAGTGATGTGGACAAACATTTAGAGAATGGGAAATTAATGTTGGAGAAACAGGAGACTACCTGGAGTGACATTTTTGAGTAAGTTAGAGGCTAAGGAAATTTGCATGCAAACGGGTGGAATAGCCTCATGCACAGCATGAAGGAGTCATGTATGGTAACACATGGGAAGATACTTCCTATGTTTAAGTATGGTAGTTAAATGTGAAAGTAGAGTGATTAGTTGCATTTAAAAGGATTTAAGATTGCAAGTGAATAGGAGGGGAGAAAAGGGCAAGTGAGTCAATCCTTTGTGCAGGAGAGGGGTGGTAATCGTTGACCACATGGTTCTTATTAGCACAGGTAAAGAGGAGGGAAGACATCATATAGGGAAAGTGATAAATATAGAAAATGATAGGATGAATTGAAAGGCAAAATACTGACCATTCATGTTGGGTTGTTACAGTGAGTGAGCTGTAAGCATGCTGGGAAGTAGAGAGTGGGTGAAAAGGCCCCGGCCATGCAAGTATTGGAACTGATGAGGTCTAGCAGCAAGTGGCTGAAGTAGGGTGGAGGAAAAGATCAAAGATCAGTGAATGACAGTGGTTCAGAGACTATAGATCAAGATCTTGGTCGCCTTTGAATAGTGTGTCTTTAGATATCACTTACCATCCCTCATCCTTGTGTCTACATAGCTCTATCTCATTTCCCTATTATTTGTCAATGATTTCAGCCCTTGTATCAATGTAACCTTCTCCAACACAGTTTCTGTGATCATTTTTGGTGATTTCATCCCTGCTGCAGCACATATAAATGTTTTTCTTTATTGGTGAATACTATTCCATTTTATGGATATTCAGCATTTTGTTTATCTCTGTACCAGTTGATGGGCCTTTAGATTACTTTTGCAGGGGCAGGAGGGGGCTGATAAGTAATGCTGCCATGAGTATTTGTGAACAGGTCTTTGTGTGAACCTGTGTTTGTGTTTCTCTTAGGTGCAAAGGAATAAAATTTCAGGGTTGAATGGTAAGGTTAGAATGTTTTACATTTTTAAAAACTGCTGATTGTTTTTCATAGTGGATGTTGTATCTTCTATTCCTATCATTTACTTTCAGCTTGTACACATCATTGCCTACAGTTGGTACTGTTGTTCCCTTTGGTTAAGAGTCATCATAGTAGGTCCCTCATTGTGGGCTTTTTTCATTTGCATAATGACTCACAAGGTTTTTCATATGCTGATTGGCTAATGATGATATATTATTTTGAAAAATATCTGTTTGTATCTTTTGTCCATATAAAAATTTCAC